ATTACTATTACTGATCACTTTGAGGATTAGGTATGTGGTTAGATATTAATATGCGAATTTTTTAATCACATTTGTTTGCGTTGATAGCCCAAATTCTAAAAAATTTTGTTGTAATAAGCATTAATATAAGAAATAAAAAGTCCTAATGCTATTTCTGATCTTATAAAATTTGCTCTATTGTTAGTATATTGTAAACTCATATTATAATACTCATTGCTATTATGTCTCCAGTAGAGGTGGAATCCTTTGAATATTCATTATAGCTATTCAATAAATATTCACACGTTTTAATCATCTGTGAATGAATATCCTGATTTTTATATAGATATTCAAAATGGCAAAATAGATAAGATTATTTGAGTGTCACTAAAAGAAAACCTAAAAATTTAAATATGACTTATATTTAAATTTTCAGATTTTCTTTTAGCGACACATATTTATGATCTAATCCTCAAATTTCATGTAATCTATTAAATATTCACAAAGTTTGTGTAATTAAATATTCGCATATTCATTTTTAACAGTGGATATTCACAAATACCACCCCTAACCTCTGAAATTAAATAAAAAATATTAGTAACGTCATATTAGCTGCATAAAAAATAAATATAACCTTGCGTCATTGATAATAATTTCTTCTTACCTATTTATAAACCTAATTATGAAATAAATATGTAATAATATATTAAATTATTTTGGGCTACAAAAAAAATCGAGTCTAGTAAATTTACTTACCTGTCTCATGTCAATTTGAATGTCATAAATTTTGACTCTCTTACATCTCACTAATTTTAATGTAATAATTACGTTACTCTAATAAATTATATAACCATTATACAATATATTGTAAATGGTACAAAAATACCGTCAAGCATATAAATATTTCTTCTTAGTAATTAATTAAATACGTATTGCCAATGAATTCATTAACCTCTTCACCAAAAACATCATCTGCATCTTCATCAGAAGAATCTACTTCTTTATCCATGTTTTTAACTGTATCTTCAGAAGAAGAATCTAATTCTTCATCCACATTCTCATCTGCATCAGAAGAATCTTCTTCATCCACGTTCGCGTCTGTATCTTCATCAGATTCTCTAGCCACATCTGCATCTTTACCAAAAGAATCTATTGAATCTTTATCCAAAGATGATCCGGCAAAAAATGCAATGAAAAGACTAAGAGAGGGACCAAGATTAACTAGTTGGATTTGGTTGTGGAGTGAGCATCAAGAATTACCAAACCTAGAGGGAAGGATGTTTATATGCACGAACAAGTTATCAAATGGAAAAGACTGTGATTCTAAAATTACAACAAAAGGTCCAACAGGAAATATTATTAATCACTTAGCGACTATACATCAAATATTTAAAAATACTTTCTTACCTAATATAGT